GAGCATATACAGAAGTACTGGCATTCCTAAAAATCAAAAATTATCCACTGCAGTTCCAACCACATTGTATAAACACAGCATTGCCAACTGCTTTATACGGTTGCAACTTTCCAGTCTTGCATATTAACCAGAAAGGACGAAGAACAGTAGGAGTGCAGCAGCGCGCTACGGAAAAAAAGGACGTTAGAAATTTGCATCCTGGAAAAGCTTCGAAATCAAGAAATAATAAGAAGCACGAAAAGCAGGACGCAATATCATTTTCATAAAGAAAAAACCGACAATGGGTAGGTAACATGGCACAAATGATGGTTGATCGATGGACTCCGGAAAAGATGGATTGATATACAAGAAACTGCAAATGTCCAATCTGGAGAAAGGACGGAATGTTTGCAATCGTTGAAGCATCCGTCCTCTTTTCACTTACATAATCGAGCTAATTCTAACACTTTTGTTTTCATGAAGTTTCGTGGCGGGGGATGGAGTGATGACCTCCATTTCCATGCCATCAGCCAAGAGTGCCTTATTTTAAAGGTAGAGTGGGCAGGAGCAATGTGAAAAGAACGATGCGCAATTTCTTGCTTCCTTTCCACAATACGGCACTCATTTTTCAACCTCGGAAGGAATAAACGCGATTGAACTACACCGGCGCTCAAGCATCAGATTTGTTGGTTCTGTGCTTGACGCGCTATCGACTGAGTAACTGTGGTCTGAACAAATGAGTGTTAAATTCCATGTAAAAAGAAATTCGCGCTAAAGGCACTGGCATGTTTCCAATTGGCAGACTCAGATGGATCGATGAGCTATAAAGAATATATTTAAGCGTATGGCGACAAATTCGTACGTAACCCTGCAGACAACATGCAATGGGCTATCAGAACACATTTTTAGACATAAATACAATAAAAGTAATATGATGCACAAATATAAAACAACATATGCATTAAGCTGATACAGATTTAATCAATGTTTCATTTGCATTTCAAAGCCTTTCGTTAGGGTATGTGTCGATGCACCTGCTGAATCGACCTACATTAGAAAATGATTCAAAGACTACGTCAACCAAGAACCATAGCGGTGCATGTGTTCAATATGGTCAGTGGGGAAGAAACCGAACCAAAGTTATACGTTGTCTATCTCATAAGCCAGAAGCATGATGCTGTGGCTAATCTAACAATTCTTATGCTGATCTTTGCCGAATGTTTGCCAAACCCTTAAAATAACGAAATAGTGTTTTCCAGCGTTGGAACATCGATTTATACAGGATGTTACTGGTACTGGAAAATACTTTCAGCATAAATGATACTGCGGCAGGAAACCCGCCCCATACGTAGTTTATGCTGTTAAAAACAGTTATTAAATGACGATCTGAGTAATCGTAAACAGGTCGATTTTACTACAACAAACAATAAATACCAATAAAGAATAATTTCTGTACTAAACAAATCACAAGTCACTTTGTTCGACAACCTTCACGGCAACTGAAACCTACAACCCATTTCTACCTTAAAGAAGAACCAAAAAATGCGGGTCGAAATGACGATATCGGTGTATTACCCAACAGATCATTAAAATGTATTGTATAAATTGTTTTTGCACTAGTT